GATGAGCTCACTCGAGTCACACGGGACCAGGGCTCAGCCTGCTCTAAGATGAGTTCACCCGAGTCACACGGGACCAGGGCTCAGACTGCTCTAAGATGAGCTCACCCAAGTCACACAGGACCAGGGCTCAGCCTGCTCTAAGATGAGTTCACCTGAGTCACACAGGACCAGGGCTCAGCCTGCTCTTAGATGAGCTCCCCTTAGCTCGCTGCATCTGCAAGACCCCATTTCCAAACAAGGTCACAGCCAGAGGTCTGGAGGTAGGGTTAAGGTTAGGGGTTAACATGTGAAACCTGGGGGATGCAGTTCACCCCCATACACCCGAAACTCTGTTGTCCTTTGGGAAGACTCACTCTTTTCTTCATACTCCACCTCTTCCTCATCTGACCACTCATCCTGTAGCTCCAGGGAAGGACTTCAGTTATTTTCTCTTTCTCTCCTCCTTTTCCATCCCACAAAAAAGCTATGCAAATGCCAGGAAGAGACAGCCCGCCTGTGTTGCTAAACTCTGCGCCCTGAGTGCCAGCCCTCAGATTCCTGTGCTCCAGGTGAACACCCGGTTCCTACAGGTGGAGGAGGCAAAGGCCCCTGCAGGTGCACAAGCTCCCCCCGCAGGAGGGCGCCCAGGGCCTCTGCAGGGAGAGGGCACTCCCCTCTGTAATGACAGCTCCCGTGTGTGTAGCCTCAGATCCTGCAGGGCAGGAATGTCAGACCCACTGGAAGGAACTTCAGATACCCACAGATTCCACCCCACAATTCCACCCAGCAACTACCCGTCACCACTGGCCCTTCACCAATAATTATACCACACCAATGTCCCCTCACCAGAGTCCCTCACAAATGTCCCCTGGCCAGCCCAACACCAATGTACCCTCACCAGTGCCCCTCACACATGTCCCCTCACCATCCCAACACCAATGTCCCCTCACAAATGTCCCCTCACCGTCCCAATACCAATGTCCCCTCACCAGTTTCCCTCCCAGCCTCCCCTCCCCAGCATCCACACCCCAGCGCTCCCTCTCAGCTGGATGTGTAGAAACTGTAGATGCTGAGTGATGGTGGCCCTGGGCCCATACACACCTTGGGTGTTTTTTCTCCCAGTAGGATTCTTGCCATTTGTCTTGGTGACAGCATTTTTTTCCAGGAGCAAGTGTGTTGTTTTCAGAATGGAAATCTCTGCAATAAGGCATTTGAGTTTTCGGCCTCACTCAAGGACAGACTCCCCAATAATCTTTTTAATATCCTGCATTGTTGTCTGACAAGTACATTGATACTTCGTCTATCACATGTCATAGTCCATCTGGAAGTAATTTGAGGGTATAGTGATTTTTCAAGTTGTTTTTTAATGGAGAATTTCTCTGGAAGCAGGAGGCTGCCCAGCGGGGAGCAAACATCCCCAGGAAGCTGCTGGCTGAAGGGTGGACTCGAACCGAGGACAGGGCCAGTGCAGCTCCATAGGGCTGTCCAGACCTGCCAGGGAGCTGCACCTGTGACTCGGGCCCTCCTTCCAGCGCCAAAACCAGGCCCCTTCCCGCAGATGAGGGGCCTCATGGCCCAGGGACCTGCACTAAACCCCCAGTGCCCAGAATACCTGGGACCCTGCCTGCTGCGGCTACACCGGGCATCTGGGGACCCTGGCGCTGGGGTCTGTCTCCTCACACTGCAACCCCACTCCTTCCAACCCAGCTCCCACAGCCCCCTGACCATGTGTCTTGCCCCTGCCCCAAGACCCACAGCTCAGCTCTCAGCCCTGCCCCCAAAACCGCAAACACACAACACTGGTTTGGTGCCAAGACTTTACTGGAGGTCACATGAGACTAAGGAGTCACCTGTCCCTGCCAGCACTTCCATTCCTGGGAGACGCCCCGCTGCCCACCCTCCTATCCTCCAGGGCCCACACAGACAAGCTGTGTCCCAACCAAGGTCACAGCTGTGCCCTCTGGGTATGGGTGAGGGAGGGGCCACAGACACCCGAGGCCTCCCGTGAGGTCACTGCTGCCGGGCCTCCAGGCGGTCCAGCACCAGCGCAGCCTGGGTCTTGGCTTCCTGCAGGAGGCTGGAGGCGCGATGGTGGATCTGACAGACACACGGAAAGAGGGGGTTGGGGGTTCCAGTCTTCACCCGGCTTGCTGGCAGCAACCTCAGAACCCTGCTACCCAGGGCCAGTCAGTAACCACCCTGAGGCTGTGAATCCAGGCCCCCATGCAAGTCCCGGGCACCACGCCTGCCTCCTGCTCACCTGGTCCTTAAATGCCTCGTCCGTGATGTCCCTCAGGTTGACGAGCACGTTGAAATAGGCGCCAAACACACCCATCTCCAGGGCTTTGGCCGCCACCTGCAAGGACCCCAGGGATTGTGCTCGCCAAGGGCAAAGCTGGTCAACAGGGATCAAGACTGCAAAATCTGCCAGGAGGAGGGTCTCTGCCTGAGAGTCCCCGAGGGGCTGGGCTTCCTGGTCCACACCACAAGGAGCCCAGCGCAGTCCCCACGCTCGCCCCACAGAGGGGAGCCCAAGCTCAGCAGGGCTCCCGGCTTCCTCCACCACTGAGCTTAGACACCTCCTCTTACCCAAGCAGGGCTCATGGTGGCTCTGCCACTCTAGGAGCCGAGACCACAGTTCTAGAGGCAAAGCCATCTCTTGGAGGCCCCCCGGAGGCAGCCTCAGGCTAACGGCCCGTCCACTGCCCAGGGCCACTTCCCGGGGACTGAGGGGACACTTCTCTGGGACCAGACACAGAAAACAGTGTCTTTCCTGTAAAGAACCCGAAGACCATGAGGTCTCAGGGTGGCGGTAGAAAGTGCAGAGCCGGAGACGGATGCGCCTCGTCCCAGAGCCACTGCCCGGCCCTGGCGCCTGTCAGTGCGATGCCTCCATTTCCAGGAGTTGTCTTGCATGTTTTCTAGTGTTCTGTTGTTTTTGAGACAGGGTCTTGCTCTGTCACCAAGGCTGGAATGCAGTGACGTGATCACAGCTCACTGCAGCCTCAACCTCCTGTGCTCAAGCAATTCTCCCACCTCAGCCTCCCAAGTAGCGGGGACCACAGGCACCTCCGTGCCTGGTGCATGTACCTGCTGTACAGACAGGGGCCACTATGTTGCCCAGGCTGGTCTCCACCTCCTGTACTCAAGTGGTCCTGCCGCCTCAGCCTCCCAAAGTGCTGGGAATACAGGCGTGAGCCACCGTCCCTAGTGGCTTCTAGAGCAGAGGGTGGGGTGATAGGGGGGTCTTGGGGGAGGTGGAGCAGCATATACAGTGGTCAGGGTGGGCTCTGCAGACACATTTGGGTTTCTGCCTATCTGTGGTGCGACCATGAATGAGATCTTAGAACTCAGCAGACACGTGGGCCCTGACGGAGAAAGCCCAAGCCCCAGGAAG